ATAATGCACAAGAAGAGCACTATCGAATGGTGCTTACTGGAAGCTTTCAAGTTGGATAGGCGCTGCGTTACATACTTGCAAAGGGACCTCCTCAGAACAATTTGAGAAAACTGAAAACAAGATATAGATGACATGACGTATGTAGAAAGATTCGCCTTGACGAGATGAACACAGTGCTGCTTTCGAATTTAGAATATATTAATTCCGAAGGAAGTTATGGCGCTGCATAATTTGCGATAATCCGGAATCGCGAAATTTCTGGAATTTCGCGCAATTCCCGTTCTGTGAGTGGTATTGTACATTGCACAGCACGCGCGGCATTCCGCGATATGTGCTTCTCATGCGATTTCCAACCATTTCCCTTTGTCTTCCTGCATTTTGGGACCCGTCATACTTCGCCGAGAAAAGCCCACTTTCACACATATCCATGCAGAATGAGCTGCCCAGTTTCACATATATCCATGCAGAATGAGCTCTTAAACTATACCTGCCCTATTTCTGCTGTGCTCAATAGAATGTGTACGTATCCTCTGGAATAAGCACACTGAATGGTCCATTTACACTAAAATTCCAGGAAAGAAACTTATATCCCACAACTAGGCACATCCGTATACTGGAAGATGCGCCTCGCCGAGCTGAGTTGAATGGTACTCTTATATATAGAATTCATAAATTTTGAATCAAGATAAGGTCTTTTTTTATAAAAAGTTAGGCGTTGCGCGACAAAGTTAGGTGACTTTGGCCGCTTTTCCGCCGACTTTTGCCGCGCGACGCGGCAAAAGTCACCTAACTTCGGCGGCGCCGCGTAAGTTAAGTGCCGCCGCCATTTTTTTTCACAAATTACGGGTGGTATTGTACATTACATAGTTATGACTAAATAATACCTCCACTTCTACATCTTGAGTGTGTTGGCATAGGTCAACCTTTCAGATTTTCAGCTGTAATTGGTAGCAGAGTTCTCAAAAATTTTTTGCGAAATCTTGGCGAGATAAGATTGAATTTTTAGGGGCAAACCTCGGGCTTCCACTTCGCCATTGCCCGATCAGTCCAGCAGATTTTCGCTGTCCTTCAGCCTGAACAAAACCAAACAACAAGTAAGGACACCTTGTCAGTTTGCATTCCTGATCAATTTCATTGCAGACAGATCCCGGTAATATGATTGTGGAGTCAATCGAGGATCTTCGACAATTCAGTGTGTTCATATTCAAAAAGCAATCGAACCTCGAACAGAACAAAAACAAGCGAGACACTGTTGTCGACGCATTGTTCAAAAAATCCCTACGAGAATTTCACATGGAACTGATCGGCTATGAGGCTGTGCTTACGGTAAGCGTAGAATTGATTAAGCAAGCAAATAGTAGTCATATCATAAGTGCCTTTACAATCAAAGGGGAGAGCCTTCATAACTTTTTTAAAAAATTTTTTCGTCCAATTTACTTAGAGGGTTGTAGCTTTTCAAAAATGTCATTCCCTGGAAATCAGTTATTTGATTTTTGATTAATATAAAGTCTTGGCAAATACACAACTTGCGTTATCGAGGGCATTGAACTTACAACAACTTCACCCGTGCGCTTTCGCTCCGGCGAATTTATGAAAATATCTTGGAAGGTAAGAAGGAAAAATGAGAATTTTCAAAAGACAGTGAGAGAATGAAGGTCAAGCTGTTGCGGTACTTTATACGAGTGAACCGGTAACCTCAAAGGTGCTAGTTGCAGGCGCGCTCGCTTCGGGACCCGCACGGTTACCCGCTATCTAATGATTTTTGAATGCATTTTACGATTCTTTATATATTAGATTAGAAAATGCATTGGGTTGTTGGAAAGCCGATTCTCAAGTAAAAAACATTTTTCTCCAAAATCCTTTATAATGTCTGAAAGCCCGATTCTTCGAGTTTCTAATTTGTGCTTTCGTTTTCGCAAATCTTGTTTCCAACCAGAGCCCATTGCCTTCAAAGACAATTACTGAAAAAATTCCTTCTTCACTCTCTTTTCTCTAAATCTATGAGAAATGGTCCGATTTTGTTCAAAAAATTTTCTAGCGACTGCGAAAATTTGTACTACAAAGACATTCAATATTAGATCTTTGAAAAATCTTGAACAGAGGAATCTTGGCTTAAACTGGCTGGCGCTGAGGTCCATCTATCCTACATAAAGCAAAGAGCGATGTAAACTTTCGCTATGTACAACTATAGTGCGTCTAGTACAACCACTAATAGGAAAACGGCAACATTTCCTCATCTTTCAGAGGAGGAAAAATTTTTAAAAATCTCAAAAAGGCACGGTGAAAAAAGTAAGTACTTCCAATTTTTTGCGAAATTTACTCACACAAAAATGCCGTAAAATCCATACATCCGGTCCATTGCGCAACCGACATCGGCTATGTAATGAGCAAAGTTCGCACGATCCTAGCACGCTTGAGAGCAGTTAAGCTTTCTCGAAATATAGGTTTCTCGAAAAATGATTTGGAAATCTTCTGCCTAGAAAATTTTTCTCAGAGTGGCTACGATTTAACGTAGCACGCCTTACATGGCCAAAGGTTTGCTGTTCGCTATAATTTTTATTGCGCTCAAAAAATGTTATGAAAAAGAATTATCGGTACTTCTCCGTTATCCGGACCCATTTTTTCAAAGAACGATATTTCTTCCCTTGTACCATATCTGGTCCCAACTTCACTGAAAGGAGTGTCAACCTTCCTGCCACTTGTCAAAAAATTTGACATGTCGCTAACATGTTTATCAGATTTAACAAAGAGTTTGAGATGCCCTACCTAGCGACGTAAGTTCAATCTATTTTTTAGTCAATAGTAAACCCCATTTTCGTTTGAACATTATCAAAAATGAAGGTTATCATAAAAACGTCGTTATTTTATCAAAGAACAGATTAGGCAGAAAAGTGGGCTAGGGTTCCATTATCTAAGTGACGAAACAAGCAGCAGCGAGGAACTCAAGCCATCATTTATCGTTTTGTCTGGCTAAATTTGCATGGCGAAAAGTTTGAAGAGAAAGACAATGTTGAATCATTGCTAAAAACAATCAAGATGTCCTAATATAAGTTACAGATGGTTTTTCTCTTATAAAAACAATTAAACAGCTTTTAGTGATCGCAAATGCTCTTTTATCACACCTCAAATGATTTCGAGGAAAAAAAACACATGTCAAAATGGCCCAAAACTTATCAGTATTTTCCTAATAGTGGCAAGGAGGCAGTTCTCCTGGAATTTATGGAAAATTGTTCTAAAACTAAAGAACATATTTTAGGAGCCTTTTTCATTAAGTCCTGATAACGGAAAAGTACCGAAGTATCTTATGGTATATAAGTTTTTTCATAGCCAGAAAATTAGAACCAATAGCTGGCTTACCCGGCTCCTCTGGCTTAGATATGCAAATCTCGATGGAAGTAATCTATCCTATTCTGGCTATGAGCAGCTAACGGAAACATTGCCTGAGCAAGCGGTGCTTCAAACTCTTCATCTAATCATCAATCTGCATTTCTTTCTTGTAAAACGTGACATAAAAGTCTGATAGAACAATAGAAAAATGAAAGGAATGAACGAAATTCCCAACAAAAATTGGTGGTAGCGTGCTATGCTGTAATTATCTTGGCCTTCTAAAAAATTTCGTTGGCTAATGAGAAAACCAAGGCATTGTTGCTCTTCTGCAAAACGACCTTCGAGCTATGATAACGGATATATTATCATGTGTAACCAAAATAGGAGGAGCGAACGGTTCTGAAATATCGCGACTTGATTACGACCTTCGAAGGAGTGCTCACCAAGGTTTGCAAAGAAGAAAAGGTCTCATTTCCGACGACGCTCGGCGTCAATGCCTTCAGGTAGTACCATTACTTGCCTCACATTTCACAGTTAATTTTCCGTTTGCAGAGGGTTTCTGAACGAGTTCATGCAGACTCAGAAGAAAAAGGGCTCCAAGCAGAAGTCGGGCATCATCAAGGTAAGTGGTCGGCTCTGCGCTTCTGCCTATGCCTGCTTCAGTTACGTAGCAGCAAGAGCTTCCCTCTTTCAATGTTGACTTTGCAATCGCTAATAATGTCTATCGCTTCGGCCTTAGAGAGACTGCACCTTGCAATTCTAGAGCGTTCGTAAGAAACGTCGTCGTTCGGATGTGACTGTGGTAAGAGATTCTCGCCAAATGCCTAACATGGAAAAACCTCTACTAACAGCACGCGCACAGTCGAGGAGTTTACGGTCAACTGCAACATTTCGCGCGTACCCATGTGCATTGCGTACTTTTGTATCAGAAGCGTCTTGCATATCGAATTTAGATGTTAAATATCGGCTTACTCTCTAAATTAGAAATTATCCTGTCAAAACTACTTCTGTATAGTCGCGGGCCCGGAGAAGAGGGGGAGGTGTACAGAAATTGCAAAATACGCAGGCAATTTCTTTTCACTAGCGAATAGTCGAAATTTTTTGAATTTTGAAAATTTATGTACCTGAAGGCAACTGGAGACTTCTTCAAGTCTAGCTAGTACCAACCTTCTTAAGAGAAATTTCATGGGCACCTCTCACCTCCGAAGTTTCCGTGTCACCTCTGTAAGATATTTGGAACATCTGAAAGATGATGCTACCCACATTCTCTGTCATACTTTTTGCGAGCACAGAGTAGAATAAATGAAAATGCTTCCACAGAAAGCCCAAAAGGGACACATCCACCAAGGCATCAAAAATACCTTTTAATAGTATTAGAAAAAAGGTAGACTAGTAACTTCATTAAAGATTGCTGCACTTTCTTCTGTAAATCATAACAGTTTAGGAAGCGAGGTCAGGGCCCGGCACAGATCGTCTAGAAGCAGGCTGGACTTCGTTTTTGGAGCAAAAAGCAAAGGAGATATCGTTTTTGACGATTCGGGGCCCAGCACCAAGAATAAGCGCCATTTAGTCGAATACAAGCTTTTCAGACAGGTTATCACACGATTGACATGCCCTATCGTGTATGGCGAAAAGTGCGCGCAATTTGAAAGCAAGGCTAAAATAAACAAGTTGCTTGTTTACAGTGCACACAAAGTCATATGACACCAAAATTGTACTGTATACATTAAAAATTATTTGCAAAAGAATTATGTATAAAGGTTTGAAAACTTATGTGAAGTAATACGTTTTCCAAAATTAGATCGTCTCCAGACGGCCACCAGACGATCTGAGATCGTCTGGAGCATATATTTCTGTCAATTCACATAAGTTTTGGATTTTTCTATCATGGACGGATTCCCCGGTCAAAAATCTACCCCTGAGCATGAAAACATTTTCATATCATTGCCTTTCCTTTGTTTTTTGCCTTCATTTTCTCATATATCGCTTTGTAAAATATCGCGCTCCAATCCCAAACTCTTGTGCATGCGTAGTACTCAGCTCCAATTTGGATTTTCACTCTTATCCTACGTTTTATCTTTCAGACTAGTAACTATTTCTTGTTTTCATCTTCTCCTAAGCAAATAGGTCAAAGGGGACTTCGTAAAACTTCCGAAAGTCATGGAAGACTTCGTTTTCAGAAATGCCAGAAACCGACTCGTGCCGGGCCCTGAGCGAGGTGCATTCAGAAAGGCCTCATTTTTGGTAGCCCATATAAGCAACCAAAAAATCAGAAAACTGTTATGCGGAGTTCCATCAACACCTAGAAGCTTTCAAGAAGGTTTCTGCTCAAACTTTCAAAACCGCGTAACTTGTATAAGATCTAAAAAGCAGGACCTAAATTCTTCTGGCGTTCACTTCCTTTCCTCCCGTTTCCTTTTTCAGCTTCGATAGTGCTAGCATAGTGATTTGAGGTGTCCTGACAGTGATGGTCGCAAAGCGGCTCAATGCTTTCTACTTTCAGCTCCATGCAGGTCATCGTTTCAAGTCCGACTTGGTGCATGTGCCCACATACTGCGAGGTCTGCAATCAGTTCATGTGGCACGCCGAAAAGATTTTCATTTGCGTTGCTTGTCGCATCTCTTGCCACAAGAAATGCCACTCAAAGATCACGCAGTTGTGCACGATGAGCATTCCTTCGAGTATGTCCACTGCGGTGAGTGCAAGATCGAAGCAAATTTCCATTTGGCTGTTCACTAGGGGTAAAATTAAGCAGGAGGCTTCCATGCTAATGCAAATCTGCAGCTTTGCACAGTTTGCGAAAATAACCTACTTTTTGATAGTAAGTAGGACAGCAACACTTCTCCTAAAAAGCCGATAGGATCTACAAAGATATGTTATAATCATTACTATTATTTAACACTCATAGTGCGGAGAAAGAAGAATAAAATTCAAGAATGGAATAAACTTGCCACACTTTGCACATTCAACAGAAGCTTATCGTAGTACCCTTCTTCATCGAATTAGGTCAAACGACGAGAGGAATATGTCTAGCTTCCAAGGAAAATCGTGACTTGCAGTTACCCCCATTTCACGAGTACAAGGTGAATTCAGCCGCTTTGCTGTGTCTCGTGAAACGATCACTGTAGTCGATTCTCTTGTGTAGTACGCAGCAAGGTAGAGGGTCCCTGGGCTGCCAATTTTGGCGTGTTTGGCCTAGTTGATTTTATGAAAAACCCAAGCCTTTTACGTGTGAAATTAGGATGATAGTTTTTGGGATACGTCTACACGAAAATAGCAAATGTAATCTGAGTACAATATTTCTTTAGGAGCTGGATAGTTCTGCAACACTGATGCTTCTATTTCTCTTTACAAAAAACTTGAATGTAGCCACTAAAACGGCCAGAACTCCCTTTTAGCATTAAATCTTAAACAAAGCATAACCTCTATGTATTAGGCGGACTGACCGCACCTGCCATTCCAAATGATCATTGTCTTTTTTGATAGTGAGCCATACATTAGCTTTTTCATTCACCAAAACTTGTAAATCTCTATAGTCTTCACTATTAGACTAATCAATTTGTTGGATATGATACAAGGCAATTGTTAGGCTTTGAGATAATTAACCTTTTACTACCTGGCATTTTGATGTAAGATTGAGTGACCGGAACAACCGAGCCCGTAAATCAAAGATAGTTGTTTTTTATTGGAAGCTGTGGTTGTAAATCAGTGAAATGAGGTTGGGAATACCACAGCGGCCAAAAATTGTATGACGCCCTGCTCGAACAACTAGCAGAGAACGCATTCGTGCCTACACATCGTGCTAGTTGTCCGCCACAAATCTGTTCTATATTAGTTGCAAAAAGCAACTTTGCCTAAACCTCATTGATCTGCATTTCACTCTTCTATCCCGCTAATGTGATTATTTATTTTACGAAATGGTAAAAGGGTGGAAATGCAGGTGCATAAAGTTCTGAAACTTGATATAAAAAGAAGCGGTCATAGCGTACCGTAAAGGCAATGTTGCAGGCTTTTGAGAATAACTCCTATGTATGGCAACCATTCGGCGTCGTTGAGGTGGAGTTGATAATTCATTATTTCCCCGGGGTCTCCATGGCTTCTACTTCATTATCACTTACCCAATTTTTTCATAACTCTTCTGCATGGCATACGCAATTTTTCATAAATCTTCTGTCTCAAAACCAATCAAGTTCCCACCTGGATTTCCAGTGTTCTCAATTCGTTTCAGACTGGTGGCCGATTCTTTGGTGCGGTCTTGGCTTCGCTTGTGGACGAGGACCATGTCATACCTCCGCTAGTGGATCGTTTGTTCATAAATGTCGAAACTAGGGCACTTTTCGTGGAGGGAATTTATAGGTATTTGAGTCTTTTATTCGCATCCACAATGTCATAATCAGAAAAGATTGAAATGGTGTGAAAATACATATATATGTGAAAATATTTTGCAGGAAAAGCGGTTCGCTTGCTCAAATCCGAAATGCTCGTCGAGTGATTGAGACTGCTCCAGGTTAATCTCAAAAATTCGGGATTAGAGAGCATCAAAGAATAATATGCAGTGAAAGCAACGCGATAAGCATTCCAGATTTTGAAACAGTATCCTTGGACGATGTGCAAGTTCATGTGCTTACAACGCTGGTTAAGTCATTTCTAAGGGAACTTCCTGAGCCGCTGATTACATTCGATTTATACGAGAATTTCCTGAATGTGTCTGGTAAGAGACTAATTCTTTAATCTGCAAGAAATATGCTTTCTTGCTTACAGAAGTGGACGACGGTGTTGAACGAGGTCGATGCTTAGCGGTTATGATAGACCTACTTCCAAAGTCTAATAGGGGTTTGTTGGATCGGCTCATGTTCCATTTAGCTAGGGTAGCCTACCAGGTGGGACGGAAGCACACACACAATATTACAGTTCTTCATGTTGTTTGTATAGGAAGCAGTGAACAAGATGGGACCATCAAATCTCGCTTTGATTTTTGGCCCTTGTATCTTGAGAAGGCAAGACAGTGTTCATGCACAGGTACTACTGCTTTATGTACCTTTGCTACTGTAAGCTGCAGTCGTCCTCATTATACTAAACAACTGACGGACGATTCTGAATTTGGTTGGAGCATTTTCTTCGGTAGACGACACCTTTTGAGATAAAACTTGGGGTCGAGGGTACCGCGTTCTACAACAGCGGAAATGCTCCAGTTCAAACTCAAAATCGTCCACGGGATGTGCGCTAGGATGGGTACAAGTGTGGCTGGAATAGTCTTTTTTTAGGAGCAACTGAATGACGTTTCACGTCAAGCCATATGCGTGCAAACATTAATCGAAGAGAAGCTGAGACAGTACAGAGCCACTATGATCAACATCGTTGAATTGGAAGATGCTAGTCAAAAGGTTAGATGCCTTAATCTCTACAGGAACATAATTTTGCGAAATGAATCGTCAATGTTGCAGGTGTCTGCTAATTTGCGACGCATAGAGGAGCACCAGCGTGCGGATACGGTAGCGAATCCGCCGCTTGGAACTGCCAAGCAACTCTTCGAGGAACAGCTTGACTTCCTCGGCAGACAAAAGTGAGTACTGTTCAGAAAACATCTCGGCAAGCAGAGTACAGGACATTCATAAAATCGTGACGACGGATTTGATAGCTTTTTTGCGCCCACAGGGGCATAAAACACTCATACAATAGGCATCAACTTGACTCTCAGCTGAGTGACTTATCCAACGCTCTTGGTACGCGGAAAAACTATTCGAGTAGAGACGAAAATCAAGAATTGCGATTGCCGGAGATTCGTATGCGACGCACGCGGCCGCGCCATCGTCACGATTTTGTGAATGCAGTATACTTGAAATGCATAAATGTAACAGCGTTCTATTCTACTGAATACTTTAATTTGTGTTCCAAAAATCCTCGAAAATCTTATTCTCTATCTATTCTCTATCTATCTGTTTCCAGGGAGAGGTTATTGCAAGAGCTTCCTCCATTGGCTCCTGTCGCTTCTTCAGAAGATCTTTCCTCTTCTGACGAGCATTCATCAGGTCTGCAGTCCCCCAGATTTTGCGAAATAAGTTGCGGTCTGAGCACGAACACTACCATATTCCAGGAACGTCACAAGAAGAATACGCCATTGACATGGATGCGCCTCCAGTGTTCGGAGTCTTATATCATGCCTGTAAATATCGAGCGAGACCGCCTCCTGGAAGAAAACCGCCGTCCCGGTTTCGTCGATCACCCGCTGTTCTTTTTTACACTCCACTGCCTGATTAGGCTGCTCATACTGTTCGAATGTGATCTTTGGGCCATTAAAGAAATCTACGACGTGTGTTATAGAGGGGCGCGTTCCCGTTGCAATGCCTTTTTATGACGTGTTGAAATATGCATCTTGAGTACAGGGATTACGGCAGTATCAATAACAAAGTCGCTTGTGCCGGCGGCTCGAATTTGCACGGCCTCCTAGGTCAGAGCTCGCTCCGCGTCTGGATATATCTCCTGAGCATTTATCTTCCAACAACTTCCGCGCCTTTCTAGGGAAATACTCAGAAAATAAATCGCAAACGCGTTTTGAAGACGGGTAGCACTATTATTACGCTGTGAAAATCCGTCTTGGACAAAGCAAGTGCGGGTTGTGAACATCCGTGAGTTACAGATTTCTTTCTGTATAGAATATGCTTCTACATTATTTTGTGCTTGCAACGAAAAAGCAAATAAAATTTCAAAGCAGAGAATCGATCTCGGGCCTACGCTCATGTCAATGCCGAATCTGCATCAACAGTGAGAACTTAAATTTCTCTCTTGCTCACATTTTAGGAAAAAATGCAAATTTCCCTCCAAAACTCGAACACAAGTTAAATGCAGAGAAAATGCAAAGTGTTAGGTTGATTCATAATTAACGCCGTTTCTTTGATTAAACTCTCAATCGAAAACTTTCTAGAAACACTTTTTCTGAGAGCAGTATATTACATACTGTTAAACAATATAGGTTTTTGCAGAGAGCATATAAAGAAAAATTCATGAGCATGAAGACTGCCAAATCTTTCCTGGCCTTTAGTTTGAGAGACCATAAATCAATTGAAAGTAGTAGGATAAGAGGCACTATGCTCGTTGCGTAGCCGATGATCGGATACAGTGGTGTCAAGCTCAGGTTTTACGGAATTTTTCAGATGGAAAATTTCCCAAAAAGTCCGAAAGTACTAACTTTTTGACACTCGGCGGGTTCAAAAATTGCTCTTCTTGCTATTTCTCGATTTTTCATTGCCAGTAAAATAGTTCGAAAGAAATAACGGGGAATCCAGCTCGCATTCTACGATAAAGTGAAAAAGCGCCTTTAACAGAAGATAGACGGATCCTCGGTAGTATAGTGGTGAGTATCCGCGTCTGTCACATGCGAGACCCGGGTTCAATTCCCGGCCGGGGAGAATCTTTTGCTCCTGACACAATGAACACTTCCAAGCGCTGAGATAAAAACGCTCTGATAGAAAGTTCTTTTCCATGATTTTTCTTTCCTCCACAAACATTGGCCAGCCCATTAAGCATTGTTAGTGAAGTAGCGCAAAAAGCTCGCATTTGCAAAACTCATTCCGTTGCCGGGAATCGAACCCGGGCCTTACGGGTGAGAGCCGTAAATCCTAACCACTAGACCACAACGGACTTACCGATTCCCTCATTGTGCCTGTTTTTGAGCACTTCTTATCGTTTCGCTATTTCTTCATACTCTGAATCATTGCCAGTGAAATAGTTCGAAAGAAATAACGGGGAATCCAGCTCGCACTCTACGATAAAGTGAAAAAGCGCCTTTAACAGAAGATAGACGGATCCTCGGTAGTATAGTGGTGAGTATCCGCGTCTGTCACATGCGAGACCCGGGTTCAATTCCCGGCCGGGGAGAATCTTTTGCTCCTGACACAATGAACACTTCCAAGCGCTGAGATAAAAACGCTCTGATAGAAAGTTCTTTTCCATGATTTTTCTTTCCTCCACAAACATTGGCCAGCCCATTAAGCATTGTTAGTGAAGTAGCGCAAAAAGCTCGCATTTGCAAAACTCATTCCGTTGCCGGGAATCGAACCCGAGCCTTACGGGTGAGAGCCGTAAATCCTAACCACTAGACCACAAGGGACTTACCGATTCCCTCATTGTGCCTGTTTTTGAGCACTTCTTATCGTTTCGCTATTTCTTCATACTCTGAATCATTGCCAGTAAAATAGTTCGAAAGAAATAACGGGGAATCCAGCTCGCACTCTACGATAAAGTGAAAAAGCGCCTTTAACAGAAGATAGACGGGTCCTCGGTAGTATAGTGGTGAGTATCCGCGTCTGTCACATGCGAGACCCGGGTTCAATTCCCGGCCGGGGAGAATCTTTTGCTCCTGACACAATGAACACTTCCAAGCGCTGAGATAAAAACGCTCTGATAGAAAGTTCTTTTCCATGATTTTTCTTTCCTCCACAAACATTGGCCAGCCCATTAAGCATTGTTAGTGAAGTAGCGCAAAAAGCTCGCATTTGCAAAACTCATTCCGTTGCCGGGAATCGAACCCGGGCCTTACGGGTGAGAGCCGTAAATCCTAACCACTAGACCACAACGGACTTACCGATTCCCTCATTGTGCCTGTTTTTGAGCACTTCTTATCGTTTCGCTATTTCTTCATACTCTGAATCATTGCCAGTAAAATAGTTCGAAAGAAATAACGGGGAATCCAGCTCGCACTCTACGATAAAGTGAAAAAGCGCCTTTAACAGAAGATAGACGGATCCTCGGTAGTATAGTGGTGAGTATCCGCGTCTGTCACATGCGAGACCCGGGTTCAATTCCCGGCCGTGGAGAATCTTTTGCTCCTGACACAATGAACACTTCCAAGCGCTGAGATAAAAACGCTCTGATAGAAAGTTCTTTTCCATGATTTTTCTTTCCTCCACAAACATTGGCCAGCCCATTAAGCATTGTTAGTGAAGTAGCGCAAAAAGCTCGCATTTGCAAAACTCATTCCGTTGCCGGGAATCGAACCCGGGCCTTACGGGTGAGAGCCGTAAATCCTAACCACTAGATCACAACGGACTTACCGATTCCCTCATTGTGCCTGTTTTTGAGCACTTCTTATCGTTTCGCTATTTCTTCATACTCTGAATCATTGCCAGTAAAATAGTTCGAAAGAAATAACGGGGAATCCAGCTCGCACTCTACTATAAAGTGAAAAAGCGCCTTTAACAGAAGATAGACGGATCCTCGGTAGTATAGTGGTGAGTATCCGCGTCTGTCACATGCGAGACCCGGGTTCAATTTCCGGCCGGGGAGAATCTTTTGCTCCTGACACAATGAACACTTCCAAGCGCTGAGATAAAAACGCTCTGATAGAAAGTTCTTTTCCATGATTTTTCTTTCCTCCACAAACATTGGCCAGCCCATTAAGCATTGTTAGTGAAGTAGCGCAAAAAGCTCGCATTTGCAAAACTCATTCCGTTGCCGGGAATCGAACCCGGGCCTTACGGGTGAGAGCCGTAAATCCTAACCACTAGACCACAACGGACTTACCGATTCCCTCATTGTGCCTGTTTTTGAGCACTTCTTATCGTTTCGCTATTTCTTCATACTCTGAATCATTGCCAGTGAAATAGTTCGAAAGAAATAACGGGGAATCCAGCTCGCACTCTACGATAAAGTGAAAAAGCGCCTTTAACGGAAGATAGACGGATCCTCGGTAGTATAGTGGTGAGTATCCGCGTCTGTCACATGCGAGACCCGGGTTCAATTCCCGGCCGGGGAGAATCTTTTGCTCCTGACACAATGAACACTTCCAAGCGCTGAGATAAAAACGCTCTGATAGAAAGTTCTTTTCCATGATTTTTCTTTCCTCCACAAACATTGGCCAGCCCATTAAGCATTGTTAGTGAAGTAGCGCAAAAAGCTCGCATTTGCAAAACTCATTCCGTTGCCGGGAATCGAACCCGGGCCTTACGGGTGAGAGCCGTAAATCCTAACCACTAGACCACAACGGACTTACCGATTCCCTCATTGTGCCTGTTTTTGAGCACTTCTTATCGTTTCGCTATTTCTTCATACTCTGAATCATTGCCAGTAAAATAGTTCGAAAGAAATAACGGGGAATCCAGCTCGCACTCTACGATAAAGTGAAAAAGCGCCTTTAACAGAAGATAGACGGATCCTCGGTAGTATAGTGGTGAGTATCCGCGTCTGTCACATGCGAGACCCGGGTTCAATTCCCGGCCGGGGAGAATCTTTTGCTCCTGACACAATGAACACTTCCAAGCGCTGAGATAAAAACGCTCTGATAGAAAGTTCTTTTCCATGATTTTTCTTTCCTCCACAAACATTGGACAGCCCGTTAAGCATTGTTAGTGAAGTAGCGCAAAAAGCTCGCATTTGCAAAACTCATTCCGTTGCCGGGAATCGAACCCGGGCCTTACGGGTGAGAGCCGTAAATCCTAACCACTAGACCACAACGGACTTACCGATTCCCTCATTGTGCCTGTTTTTGAGCACTTCGTATCGTTTCGCTATTCCTTCATACTCTGAATCATTGCCAGTAAAATAGTTCGAAAGAAATAACGGGGAATCCAGCTCGCACTCTACGATAAAGTGAAAAAGCGCCTTTAACAGAAGATAGACGGATCCTCGGTAGTATAGTGGTGAGTATCCGCGTCTGTCACATGCGAGACCCGGGTTCAATTCAAGGCCGGGGAGAATCTTTTGCTCCTGACACAATGAACACTTCCAAGCGCTGAGATAAAGACGCTCTGATAGAAAGTTCTTTTCCATGATTTTTCTTTCCTCCACAAACATTGGCCAGCCCATTAAGCATTGTTAGTGAAGTAGCGCAAAAAGCTCGCATTTGCAAAACTCATTCCGTTGACGGAAATCGAACCCGGGCCTTACGGGTGAGAGCCGTAAATTCTAACCACTAGACCACAACGGACTTACCGATTCCCTCATTGTGCCTGTTTTTGAGCACTTCTTATCGTTTCGCTATTTCTTCATACTCCGAATCATTGCCAGTAAAATAGTTCGAAAGAAATAACGGGGAATCCAGCTCGCACTCTACGATAAAGTGAAAAAGCGCCTTTAACAGAAGATAGACGGATCCTCGGTAGTATAGTGGTGAGTATCCGCGTCTGTCACATGCGAGACCCGGGTTCAATTCCCGGCCAGGGAGAATCTTTTGCTCCTGACACAATGAACACTTCCAAGCGCTGAGATAAAAACGCTCTGATAGAAAGTTCTTTTCCATGATTTTTCTTTCCTCCACAAACATTGGCCA